AAGCAATATGATTACGCACCAAATTTGATTCTTGTATTGCAAAGAACATCAGGGTTAGGTGTACGCCCACATTTATACTCATCAATAAGGTAAGAAACCTGCAACATTGTAACTTGTAAGCAATTAGTTCCACTGTTGATGATGAATGTGAGAAAATGCATCAAGAGGGGTGTGACTAACCACTTTGTCCCAATATTCATCTGTCAGATGTACAACTTCCAGTGCTACATCAACCTGAAGAAAAAAGAAAAAAAAAAAAAAAAAACAATGTTGATATATTTCCTTCAATACTAATCAAACTTGGAAGAAACAAAGAAAAAAAATCACATAATCAGGGATTTGAGTGATAGAATCGAGAAGTTAATTTGTTAAAACAAAGCAGGGAAGTGTTTTTGAGCCTTCAAATCCAGTTAAGCACTAACGGAAATCTGAAGATAAAATGAGATGGATAATATGAAGGTGAAGAAAGCAACCTGACTGCAAACAGCTTTTGCGTACTTCAAATCCTCTTCCCACGGACATTCAGACCAAAAGTTCTCGAAATCTTCCTACGAACGAATTCAGTACCAGAACTAGCTAAGGAATTATAGGTTTCAAGCTTCAAAATGCTCAAAGACAAAGAGAAAAGTAAAAGTAAAATAAAAAACCAATAAGAGAGGAGATTTTTGTTCATTTCAATAATATCAACCACCACAAAAAACGATGTTAAATTCTTGAATTGGAGCAGATGTATCATCCGACAAGAGATGAGCAGATTTGCAAAAACTTACAATTTGAATTTTTTGATAACCAACAAAATTAAGTTTATATTCGAAACCAGACATTGTGGGCATAAACCTAAATGATTTTATTCGTATAAGCAATGTAATGTGCAATCAAAAGAAAAGCATACGCACTTGGAACCAGATTTTAAGGTAGAAAGCGGTGCAGGAGTGTCCGGCTGCGTGGAGGAGGCGAAGTGCGACACTGCTATCAACGCCACCACTGAGAAGAACCGCAATTTTGAGAGGGCGCTTGCTATTCGGCATTGAGCAAGACAAGTAACTGTTGTCCAAATCAAAATCAGAAGTCGCGTCGTTCAAAATTTGGGGAACTGTTGTAGATGATAGAGAACGAGGTGTGTTGATGGATAAGATCGTTCTAGCAGCTCGAGGGTAGCTTTGTCGAATTGTTAACCGCGTTAACCGCAGGGGTTTGTGAAGCGAGTGTGAGACGAAAGCCTTGAGGGGTAAAGAGTACAGCTTGGTGGTGGGGTGAAACAGAGCAGCCATTGTTGTTCTGAGCATCATTTCATCGAGCTTTTGCGCCGTCTTGGATGACACTGTGCGTGAAAATAATAATTTAGAATGAAGTATTTACACTTTCACCCCTATACTTTAAATTTCTTGTCACTTTTACATTAAGACATAAACAGTTAAACACTAAACACTACTACTAGCCCAAGCCCATACTCTACTTCTTCATCTTTTCTTGTATGAAATCAACTCAGTTGCTTAATTTAATGTAACCGCAAACCAGGTTTAATGGAACTTTTTCATTTAAAACCTTATTACAAAGTTTTCAAGAAATAATGATACATTTTAAATCAACTAGAGATATTATGCTACTTTTGAACTGTAACCCTTTTATTCTTATTTTTAAATTTATTATATGCTTTTTATCCAATAATACACATAATCATTTATCATTAACAAAATAGTTGTATGTAGTATATATTTTCCCCGTAAGAGTATGGATGTCCGACAAGATTAAACAAAAGTTAAAGATGCACTATCAAATATTAATTTTCAAAAATAGTAAACAACAAAGCAAACACACATTTTAGGAACACACCTATACGACTTATACTAATAATGACCCACAACAACTAACAACTATAGGATGTTATAATCATACCATATTTTTTTCTTAAATATATTGAATCGTTTGCAAACACACATTTGATTGCAAACCAAGTTATGATTCATCATATATCTTTTTAACTTGTTTATGGTTAATGATGTATGTTGGCGTTATGTTTCCTTTATAATTCTGCTATCTTTTATTGTTGAGCTTTAAAAATATCTATGAGATTAACTTAATTCCACACCATAATCTCTTTATCATTAATTTCTTCTCTCAACAATTTATATTAGAACCATAATGATTGTTTTTTAATTTTTCTTTAAAAATCCATAATCTTTTCTAAAGAAAAACTCTAATTTAAAAGACTTTCTATACCACTTTGCTCATCTTTTTCAAAACAAGAAAAATGGCACAACTTTACTCCTTTAGTCTAAATATTGTCAATTTTGAGACAAAAATTGCACTAGATGTACATATTTTTATTTTTATTGATCTTAAATTTTTAATGCTATTATTACTTTAAACTAAATGTACATATTTTTATTTTCATAACTTAAAACCACTTACCTATAGAATTATATTTCATAGCTAATTCTATAAAAATATAGAAGTTTATAATTAACTGTAATTCTATAGCAAAATAGCTATAGATTTGTATTACTAGGAATGGCAACGGGGCGGGTTCGGGGCGAGGCAGGGTTTCCCAAACCCGAACCCGATTTCTAAAGGTGTACCCGACACCGACCCAATACCCGACGGGTTTCTTATCGGGGCGCCCCGTCGGGACTAAAACTTTCCCCAAACCCGGCCCGAAACCCGAAACCCGATAACGGCCCGAAAACCCGACCCTAAAACATATTACAAATCAGAAACCAATTGTTCAACTCAAACCAATGTCATATCAGACTCAACAGACAACAAATAGACAACAAATAAGTTCATTGAAATCAACTAATATATGTATTTGAATATCACAAAACAGATTCATCAGACAACAAATAATTTCATTTGAAAAGAAATCAACTAATATATGCATTTGAAAATCACAAAACAGATTCATCGGTACAAATCAGCATTATCCAAAACTTCGGGAATCGGGTTTCCCCGTCGGGTTCGGATTTTTTTGCCATCCCTACTGATGGAAGACTAACTGTAACACATTCGGTCATTCTCTCGCATCACGCTTCGTTCAAGGCTTCCAGCAGCCGACTCATTCTTTCAAATCGACAAAATCAAAAAATTTCAGCTATGGTCCGATGAATAAGAAGTCGACTAATCGAGTACACCATCGTTGACTTACTAATCGATTACACCATTGTGGCATCGTCGATCAATAACAAGCGATCGCAACCAGCCGACCATCCTCCAGCAAGCAGCGTCCTGAAGCTTTTTCCGTTTCATCGAAGTCTGAAATCGTTGCCTCGTCCAGCAACCATCACCATTCAACCCTCGCAGGCTCGCATCCTCTCGTTGACGGCAATCCAGATAAGAATAATGAGCATCTCGAATCCAGTGACCAGTTGCGTCTTTATGATGAATTGATTTTGGATTTCAAATATGATTGATGAATTGGTTGTGGATAATGCTGATTTGTACCGATGAATCTGTTTTGTGATTTTCAAATGCATATATTAGTTGATTTCTTTTCAAATGAAA